AAAATTCATGTCCTGAGATTAAGATGTATTTCACCTCATTAAAACATCCCCAACTAAGAGGCAGAAGGAGCCATTCTGTCAGCTGAAAACACCATGAGGGGCTTGTTGTGATGGTGGCACGTCACTGGGTGGCAGTTGACAGCTGAGCACCAAATGAGTTCTGGGGCAGCCATCAGCATCAGTGGGCAGGATGGAGCCAGGACACCCGGACTGGAAAAGGAGGGTGGCAATTTTAGTTTAGTCTTTTGTCCTAAGACTTTGGATCTAGACAACCAACCAGTTTTCAGAGCACTAAGGGCTGACAGTAATTTGATTCCCTCTATCACTGGGGCTGGCAGTGGCAGCCACAGCCAGTGGCCCAAAGATCTGGAAGATGAAAGTAATGGAACTGCCTCCTGCTGGTTCAACTCGGAAACCAACACATGTGGATCACAGTGAGAAGCACAAGTCTCCCTACTCCAGGGTCCGATGTCTCGAACAAGGCATCAAGTCTAAAGACCAGAGGAGGCCAAAAAAGAGGCACTCTGAGGGCCAAGCACTGTCCGGGGACGGGGCTGCCATCACGGACAGAGAGAAAAGGGCTTTTGGGGGAGGTTGTTCAGGCTTCGGAGTAGACATGTGGATGTCTCAGCTCCAGCTCAGCCATTCCCAAGCTGTGTGACCTTACACAAGTACTGAATGCCCCCATGCCTCAGTTTCCTCATCTGTCAAGTGAGGACAGTATCCACCCCATCAGGTTACTGTAGCGATTACCTGAAACTCTTAATCCAGAGCCAGACTCATAGCAGGCACACAATCAGTGTTAGTGAGTAAAAATAACATGCAAGACCATAACCTGACTATAATCCTGAACTGTGAGCTTGATTCGCATGTGTCCACCTGAGAGAAGGCTTCACTCTCCCATACTGACTAGATCCAGGGGCTGAGCCTACAAAATGCAGGACTTGAACAGGTTCCCCCCAAGTTAAGTGTCCCCCACTCCATGCTATTCACACCCACCTGGCTGAGTCCCTTCCCAGCTTGACTCTTCCATACCTGAGGACATTACCACATCTTTGAACAATCTCTGGATTTCTAGTTTAGAAGACAACCCAACATACTGATACATTTTAAAGATTTCGTAATTCAGTTTTTCAACTTTCAAGAACGCCCTTCCAAAACAAAGTAGTAAAAAAGCCAAGTACCCTAGACCATCTTAAAAGGAATGCTTTTGTTAAGATCATGAATGTATTCCCAAATACGTCGGCACCTGTTCTATTAGGACCAAAGGCTTATGCAGAGAAGGACAATTGGCCATATCGCTGCTCAGTGTTCTGTTTATACTTCTGTAAGATAGAGCTGTCTCTATGGTAAAGGCACATTCTGTGTCTTTGTCAAAACTGTCAATATGCAGTCAGTTGTTGACTGAGTTTAGGCTCCTTCTGTATACTGCAGGGGTGTGAAATTCAGGGGTGTGAAATTCAAACAATCAATGAACAACAGTTTTGCCCAAAATAAGTTCTTGGATAAAAGCATTATAAATGATACACTAATTCACCAAGTGGTATGGAGGGGTTTTTGTTTGTTTTTTTCTCCATCTGGTTGACAAATACCTTACGCCCACCTTCTGATTTCAACTTTCAGTACCCTAACTTGGATGCAATGGCCCGGGGATCTGGGGGCAGCGGCACTGTATCTAGGAAGCTTGTCTTTTATCGCCACCTAATGGTCCTCCTCTATTATTACAATGCACTAGGGCCACTTTCTACCTACTTGCCATGTCTGCACAGGTTTAACAGTTAAATGGGTTTTTAAAGGAAGCATTTGCAAATATTCCCCCAAGAATCTTTGCAGGCAATACGCTTAACTCTCTCCTATACCTCTACCTCTCACATTTAATTGAGAAAACTAAGAACAACCGCAAACCATCTTTAATGCATACCATGGATCCTTGTTCCAAAGGATGATTTCAATTCAAATAAACAAGGTGGGTGGTGCAGAGTGGAGAAAGGAACATTTATTGTTCAGTGGCTAGAAAAATTGCACTCAAATTCTGTGTAGCTGCTTTTCTAATTTTAAAAAAAGAAACAGTTACTTTGGATATTTAGGCCTCCTTTACACTAATAAATCAAACTTGTTAAACTTCCATTAGCTTCAGATCATTATAGAATTATTCCACTTCTATGGTCTTTTTTTTTTTTTTCAAAATGATTTTGTTCATTCACCTGGGGGTTTTCTTTTTTTTTTTTTGTCTTTTTTCGTGTCCGGCAACGGATCGCAACCCTCAGTGTCGCCCCCGTACCGGACCGGGACCGGCAACGGGATTGCAACCCTCAGTGTTGCGCCCGCACCTCACTCATCCGGTGAGCGGGAACCGGTCTGTATGTGGGATCCGAACCCTCGGTGGGAGCGCCGCCGTGGTCCCAAGCGGCACACTGTAGCAGTGTGCCACCGGGCCGGCCCCCACCTGGGGGTTTTCTTGTGATTCTTTTGCACATGTTCACAATGCTGCTTCATTTGTAGAAGTTTCCTATATTGACAAAGACTGTAGATTTTTAAATTATATTTTGATACAGCACAGTCCATATTTGGGATTTTCCTCACTGTGCCAGTGGATCTTCTAACCATTAAAAGTAGGAGAGATAGGTAAAAACCCAAACTAGAACAGAACTGACACTATTTATGTGGTCTTATAGTTGTGGAGGCTGAGAAGTCCACAGTCCAGGGAACACATCAGGTGAGGGTGTGGCTTCAGCAACACGGCCATCACACCCATGAACTAGGGCACAGTCCCTACAACCTAATTACCTCTTCAAGGCCCCACTTTTTAATTACCATAATAGGATTTCTTACCCTCTTAACAGTCAGTGGGGATCAAGCTCCTAATACACACAATTTAGGGACACAACGCAATCCATATCATATGGTATTATTGATCTAAGTGATTTTTGCATTTCAATAATACTTTAAAGAAAACGAAATGTAAGTGAATAAAAACACTCTCCTAGAATGTTAATTTTATGACTACAGGAAAATAGACAACATGAGAAAAAAATAATTCAATTTAATTGAGTGGTCTGGTTATCTTTGCTTATTAGCACAAATACTTATTTTCATTTAAAAATATGAGAAATAGGGCTGACTGGTTAGCTCAGTTGGTTAGGACATGCAGTGTTGTCAAGGTTAAGGGTTCAGATCACTGTACCAGCCAGCTGCCTAAAATAAATAAATAAAATAAAAATTAAAATATTAGAGAAACTGGCACCTAGTTAAATCTATCTCCATCCTACTCTACCACAAAAGAGTTAAAAGTCGGCCCTAAGCAAAAACAAGAAGCTTAAAGCCTATTTGTGCATGGAATTATAAAAATTATGCAGGCTATTTAAATAGGACATAATTTAATGCAATGAAATAAAAAATAGAAATTAATTTTTAATTATATGAATTTCCATTTCATTATAGTCTTCCACATTTTAAGCAAAGGGGAAAATGTTTTTAAAGTACACCACTTCAGCAATTAGGAACAAAATAACCTTAATTCTCTTCCAAATGCCTCTTTTTGTTACTAGGGTAACAAGAAAAGAGCTGTTTCCCAGAGTTCATGAGATCCACACAGTTTCTGCAGCCGTAGAACAAATTCCCAAATGACACCAACAGGCTTGGCTGAAAAATCAATAGGCAGACTCAGGAGGGTGCAGAGTTACAGCAATAGCTATGCCAATTGTATGGCTATGCCAATTGTATTGTTAAAGCAGTTCTTAACTAAAGCCAAAATGTTTCATTATTTTAGTTATACTAAGTTTCCATTTGTATTGTCAGGGCTGGGACTCAGACACTTCAAATCCATTGTACAGACTGGGTCACCAGACCCCTCACATGCCAGGCTGGGTCACAGACCCCTCACACAAAAGTCCACGCTAGGTGATTGGGAAAGATCCCAGGAGCCATTGGCAGATGACACAAGCTCAGTCCTCAGCAGTAGCAGCAGCAGCTTACAGCAGCAGTAGCAGCAGAAGCAGCAGTGGCAGTGGCCTCTCGGGGCATCCCAGGGGCACTGGCAGCAACAGCCTCCAGCAGCAGTAGCAGCCTCCCTGTGCCCCCCTCCCCCACGGGCATACCAGGGGGCGGGGGGGGGGTCCCATGGATCAGAGCCACTCATCCTTTATACTTAAGTTATAACCCAGGACACCTGGGCATACATACACAATTACATTAGACAATAGCCAAGGAACACCTGGGCGCACATGCATATTTACATCAAATACTTGGCAAGATTCTGAACATCTGAGGGGCCCTGACCATTTTCCTATATTTTCCCTACAGAAGGGAAAAGTTTATGGCTACTCCAAGTTGAATTACCATAATTATCACGAAATAGGAGAACAGCACAGCAAGGTGGCAAGCTCTTCTGATAATACAGAAGCAATGTTTGCTGCAAGAAAAATACAAGAAATAGCACGTATGAAGAGAGGAGGGATCACAACAAAATCTTACAATGAAGAAAAAAACATCTCTGGTAAACTGAGGTGGGCAGGTGAGCAGAGACGCTATCAAACCTACCTGGTGTGCAAGTCATGGGGCTGGACCAGCTGTGGGTGAACACACTCTCCTGGCCATCAGGAGGCAAAATTACAGTAACAGGTTCCACACGTGGCAGCCATAGCTGCAAATCAATCAATGCAGGAGAAACAGAAGCAGGAACTCCCTTCAGCTCAGAAACATATAAAAGGCACTAGGCTGCAAGTTTCTTTGTCCTTAGCATCATCTCTACACAAGTGCATGACGGAGTCACAGAGAAGGCTTCAAAGATCATGTGCACAGCAGTGTGTATGATACAAAACATGATGCAACAAGACAATCAGTGCAATTTGAAAACATAGGCCAAATAATCAGTGCAACAAAAAACAATCATCCCAATGCAGACAGGAGTGTTGCTGAGGATTCAGATGTAGCAACAGATTGAGTTCAGGCATATACAAGCAGAGACCATAAATAAAGAGACAATGCTCCTCAGGACAAGATATTTGCTGCTAATCTTTATTTATACAGTTGTTCTCTGGAAAGCACTTCATTTTCAAAGCTAATTCTGAGACAAGTAGCATAAGGCACGTATGAGGAAATACTTTTCTTGTATCACGAAGAGAAGTTTTATATCTTGAAATCATTTTTTTTACATAGAATTAATGCAGAGCAAAAAAAAACAAGCAAAGGCCAAGAAAGTCAGGCACATGAAGGTAACCATATATCATCTTCACATTGAATTTTATTGATAGGATTGAGTAGATATGTTCATGTACATCTAACCATATCAGATAGCACAAGTCTTCAGGGAACCCCAGATGTACTGAGAGAGGGGTGCTGGCTTTGGACCAAAGTATTTCGTTGAGATTGGCCTGTGGGAAGACATTTGAAATGTTGTTTCATGGCTTGTGTTTTCTGAAAAAAAGGGAAAATATTATGGAGACTGTTAAAGAGAAACAGAGAATGTTTACCACAATCTTCATTATTTTACATGCAATAAAGGAAGTATTGCCTTCTACTCTATAAATCACTACTCATCATTTGTTTCCTAGGGCAAGAAAAGAAAAACAAATTTTTCTCATGGAAAACCAACCCAGGTTTACATCCGTTCTCTGTAGTAACGCATATCAAACACCATAAGGAAGTCAACGTCTCCGATTACAGTTTCCCCATTGCATTCTCATGGAAAAGAGAAAGGAGGAAACTTAAATGGTCCCTGTCTAGACTAGAGGCAGTATTCAGTGGCAACCTTATGGAAACTGGAATTCAGAGTCTCATAATGCGCATTATTACCCCTGGGACTCAAGCATCAATTTAGGTTCTGACTCTAATTCCAAATTTGGGAAATGAGAATTCTTTCCTAGTTCCATTCACTACCATGTTCTCCCTAATATCGTCTTTTCAAACAAGCTGCCTGGACTATCCATGAGCTATGAGATGAGTTTGTCTTTGGAAGCCAAATGATTTGCAGAATGCCTGACTGCACTGCCATGTCGTGTTCTAAAGGTTACTGAATCTCTCCAGGGGGTCAGGGGTGGGATTTAAGGCACTGCCCGTTTCATGCCTTCCCTGTCAGGCATTTTGGACTTACAACAGACTGCTATGGAACTGGATTCCAAACCAGAACTCATCAGAGAAACAGGCAAAATGTGCTAGCCAGAGCTCTACTTTGCCTTTTTTTTTTTTTTTTTTTTTTTTTAATCATTGACTTTTTTTTTTATGCCTGACTGCACTGCCATGTCGTGTTCTAAAGGTTACTGAATCTCTCCAGGGGGTCAGGGGTGGGATTTAAGGCACTGCCCGTTTCATGCCTTCCCTGTCAGGCATTTTGGACTTACAACAGACTGCTATGGAACTGGATTCCAAACCAGAACTCATCAGAGAAACAGGCAAAATGTGCTAGCCAGAGCTCTACTTTGCCTTTTTTTTTTTTTTTTTTTTTTTGGAATTGGCCTATATAGCCATCTGTCTACATTAAGGGTTCTCTCTTGGCTGTGCCATTTCACATTCAATTTTTTTTATAACTATCACATTAAAATTGCATAATTTTTAAAGAATTTTCCAAGCAGAGTGAATAGAAACAGATTTAACAATACTTATGAGTCTTCTCCTATGGGTTTTGTTGTGTTTTGTTTCTGGCATATGGATAAATATCAGCATATTTTCGTTTTTTACCATTCTTCAGGTAGAATTTCTTAAAGTAAACTTTCCAGTTTTCTTTTTTTCAAAAATGGATCCCAACTCATTCCTTCAAAATGGAATTGCCACCAAAATGACAATCAGTCGGCCTTAAAGTAGAGGTCTGTGTGTCTAGAGCTTGAAAGAAATCCTCAAATCAGGACTAGACTCACTTTGTAATTTAAGTAAATGAATGATAAAACCTTTAAGATCCAGTAACAAGCTGTGATGGCTACTCTCACCAGTGCCAAGATGCCCAAAAAATATAGGAAGCCGTGTTTATATTGGCTTTTTATTTGTAAGTGTAGGTCTATGTAGAAGAGAGGTCTCTGTGCAAATTGGTCTTTGGTGCACAGAATGTTTCTGTTTGTTCACCAAAATTACACAGCACGGGGGAATCTTCCTTCTCCAAATGAACTCTCTGTCCGACCTTCTCTAGACAGGCACCAAGTTTTCTTCTTTACTGAAGACGTGCTGTATGCTTAAATTATGAAAGCTTATTTCCACGTTATCTCCTTCTTTCCCAGCTGCCCTGATGCAACAGACCAGAAATCTGTTTCACATTTTTCAGTGGAGGCATATTATGGACAGTAAGGAAACTAAAAAAAAAATTTTTTTAATTTAAATTTCTTAAAATCCCTTACAGCACCAGTGTAAAACTGTAAGCATCACTACCCTAGTGAATAAACTCCCACCTCAAATTCAGTTGCAAGGTCAATATTATTATTAATAATAATACAGAATGCACACAGGTTTTTCCAAATGTCAGGTAAAACCAGATATTTTTATAGCACTTTATGATCTTTAGATGTTTTCATACATACTGTCTTATCTGTATGGCCCACAATATTTAAACGTTCCCCCATGTCAATATCCACTGTCATGAGACACCAGCATCTTATTAAGTATTGATTAATATATGGCACTTATCAAACTGTTCAGAATTATGTATTTTCATTGCCAATGGAAATGTAAAACTATAAGGCAGCAAAAGCTTACTTGTCAAAACACCTAAAGTGATTCCACCATAATCCACAGTGTTACTTCAGGAGTGCTCTGGTTAATATTTAATAAATGAAAATGTCATACCAAGTACTTATGACTACACCTCTGGCTGGAATAATTTTCTTCCACGAATCAATGGCCAGCCTTGTGATGTTTTAGGTTATAATTTATTGCCATCGTTCTGAAGGTCAGTTATCATTCCCCTATGGAAATGCACATGTATTGGTCAGTAGTGGATCCTAGGTAATAGAGCATGATTAGGAGAACATTTGCTTTTAAATAGAGGAAGAGCAGGAATTAAGTACAAAACTCTTCCTCACCTCAAAGGCACACCTTTTCCTTGAAATCCTGCCAACTACAGCCTTCTGTGCCCTAGTGCCCAAGAAATAGATACTACAGAGGTCACCAGCCCTGAGGCTCTAGAGAGGGGTTTTGACCACCTGTAAGTTGCAGGCCAGGCAGGGCCTTGGAAGGGAGACAGACAGCTGTGGATTGGAATTCACTTCTCCCATTACCAAGAGAGATGTAACACAGACAGCATACCGTAATAACTAGGTTTTTCAACCCCAGAATTCTGTAGCTACCTAGAAAAGTTGGAGAAATTAAACATGAAAAGGCCTATGAGTCTTCTTGCTCTCCTGGCTCCTCCTCTTCAGCATCCTCTTCCTCTTCCTCTCCTGCTGCTGCTTCTCCTCCTGCTCCCGCCCCACTTGTTTCTTCCATCTTATTTCAACAGAAATTACATCATTATTAAGAAGCATAAGGGCCAAAGATACAGCAGAAAGAAGAATGTAAAATCTCAAAGACTAGAGTTGAGGGCCTCCCACACCCCTCACACACACACACACCACACCACACACACACACCACACCACACACACACACAACACCATACACCACAACACACACACACCACAACACGCATACACCACACACACACACCACAACGCACACACACACCACACACCCTCCCCACACACACCACACAACACACACACCCCACAACACACACCACACCACACACACACACCCCACACACAACACACACCACATACACACCATGCACAACACACACACCATGCACAACACACACACGCAACACACACACCCCACACACACCACACACCTCCACACACACCGCACACACAACACATACACAACATACACACAAAACAAACACAACACACACACACCCCACAACACACACACAAGACACACCACAGCACGCACACAACACACACCACAGCACACACACAACACAACACACACACAACAACATACTCAACACACACCCCACAAAAGCACACAGAACTATTATCTCTCTAAACACAGACCCCTTAATACAAAATGGTGCTGCAGAATGGTACATTAATTCTAACAGGTTTCATAATATCTCTTGAGCACATAATCTTCACTCATTAACAAACTATTCTCTTCAAACCTTTAAAAATTCAAAAGGCATACAGTTAGAAGAATAAAGTACAAAAAGAATCTCAAAAATAGAATTTTGTCAGAAAGGATAATAAGCTTTTAAATGTATGAGCTGGTTATATTTTGTTATAACAAGCTAATTCAAGCCAAAATTATTATCAGCCCATACATATAACCTGGAATTACTTCCAAATTAATAGTATTGAATAGTATTTTTTTCTTATTTATACACAAAAATGGGATTTTCAAAAATGGAAGCTTGCCTAGAGAGAAACAAAAGAAATAATTATTGGAAAAATATCACTTACAAACAATGAAAAACCACAGTGTAGAATAAGCTAGAAATCATCTTTAGGTCCAAGCATAGGTATTAGTTTGATATAATAATATTAAAAATAATGAAACAGATCTAAATTTACTGCTCCCCCCAAAATAGATATATTACATTACAAAAACTGATTAAAAGAGAATATTCATCAAGATTTGATAATTACACACATGCATGTGTGCTAGCTAGTGGTTATCTCTGGGTAACAGGGTTATAAACTATTTTTATTTTCTTTTATCTGTATTCTCTAAATATTTTGCAAAGATCATGAGTTATTTTGTAATTTCAAACACAAACAAAAGTTTCTTTGGGTGGATTTCTTTTGACATTTGAGACCCTCTTTAATGCTGATGACTCTGCACTGAAACACTCAGACATTGCAGGTGACTTTCAGGAAATGACACTCTCTAACCTTGAGTTTTCAATTTTAATTTAGTCTTCTGATTAGCATTTTAAAGTGATTAATCCAAAAATGTTCAAGAACAATATTCTTAAACCTCCCGATGACAATGAAAATAACTGCGACTGAGCTAACATGGGATGCTCAACAACAGGCAGAGTCTGAGAAGGTCTCTTTGGACACATTTAGAATTCACTAACGTTCTCTGAACTGATTCATCTAAATGTTGGCATGGTTACAGCCCTATTAGGGTTTAAAATCCTCAAATCCTATCTCATAAGCCACAGGTTCAACAAGCAAGCAGCTAAGTAGGAATTTCAGTTCTCAATGTAGTTTTAATTTGCATTTCCCTGATGACTAGTGATGTTGTGCATTTTTCTATGTACCTGTTGGCCATTTGTATGTCTTCCTTTGAAAAATGTCTATTCAGCTCCTTTGCCCGTCTTTTAATTGCGTTATTTGTATTTTTCCTGTTGCTTCCTCGCAGCCCCTCCCCCACCCACCTTTATCAGCAATATGGAGATATGCTGACCTGTGGTGCTGAGTTAATGAAAATTGTCCTAAAGCTCCTTACAATGAAGTCCTCCCCCAGAGCCTATCAAGAAGCAAAACAAAATTTCTCCGACAGGAGAAAGATCATTCTCTGAAGTTTTCAAAATAAAATTAGTGGAACTAAAGGTTTCAACAAAGCAGGAACAGAATGGGAAAGGAGAGGATTCGCATGAATTTAAGACTTCCTCTGCCTTGGAAGCTCCTCTTCCTCCCCACTCATTTCCTATGACTCATTTCAAACACCAAGAGAAAATAAAGGTTTGGGTTTTTTTTTTAAACAAACTCAAATTCTTAATATAAAATAAATTTTACTCTCTTTGAAATTAGATGGACTTTTTATTATTAGCAAACAGTAGGAGTCCTTGTAATCAACTTCAATTTGGCACCACGTCACGTGAACTAGAACCTGTGTTCTAATCCAGTGGTTCTCAGACTTGATCAAGCATCAGAATCATCTGAAGGGCTTATTAAAATACAGGCTACTTCCACCTTAGGGTTTCTGATGCAGAAGATCCAGGCAGGGCCTGAAAATGTGCACTTCTAAAGGTCCCCAGGTGAGGGCCGCCGCTGCTGGTCTGGGGCCTGCACTTGGAGAACCCCCACCATAGTCTGCACTCTCCCTCTTCAATCACACTGACCAATAAGCAGGGTGTAGTGAGAGCTCACAGCTAGCAGATTCAGCACCACCATCTGCCGAGGTTTTCACTCACCACAGTCGGTTATGTTTCTTCCCACACTTGTGTATGCAGTTTGTAGTCTTATTGTAATTACATAATTTAAATGGACATCATGGAAATCAATGGAATATGAGCAGGGAAAGAACTTTTTTTCCTATGTTGACTTAATGGAATGCTTTGAAAAGACCTATTACATGTAAATCACCTTAAAATTTTATCTTCAAATTATGTGTCAAAAAAGGTGGGTGGTGGGAGAATTTATATAATCCAGATAGATTATACACCTAGATTGCTTTGTGTCATTGAATTTCTGCTCTATTTTAAAGAAACCAAAACTGGAATTTCTAGACAAATGAGTCTGTTTATGTTAGAAAAACAACAGGTCATTCTAATCTTTGCACTTTTATTGAAAGAAAAAAAGCCCTTGTCCTATATCTAAAAAAATTGGCAGTAAATATGTTTGTATACTTGAAGTTAAAATATATATTTAAGGCCTCTATGTTTTTAAAATTTACTACTTGAATTCTTCAATTGGTCAAACAACCTCCAGTTCCAAACATGGAATAGGAGGCTTCTACTGTACCTGGGAATTCTGGCTATTACTTAAGCAATTGCTGTATAAACAAGCATGTAAATTACACATTACAGAGAATAAATTTTATTCCTTTAAATTTCACCCTTAATAGTTTTTTAAAAGGTTTCTCATTTTTCTTTAAATGTTTTAATTGTACTTTTAAGTCTTATATCCTAAGTACTCCTAACTTTTAAATACTTTTTTATTTTATACGCTTCTTAATTTTCTACATTTGTGAATCTCTTGGATATTAGGTATTCTCATTCTACCTTTATTCATTGTAAGACATTTCTTTCTTAAATTATATCTTATTGAATTTACACGTTTCTTTTACATTCTGAATTTTAATTCCCCTTTTTATAATTTTTTTCATTGTCTTTGGGTGTTTTCTCTTATAGCCGTAGGAGGCAGAGCACAGAGAAAGGAGCCAATGGCTCTTGTTGTCTTTATGTGATCTCTCATCCCCTGATCCTGGCTTCCTAAAATGAAGGCTCTCAACCTCAGCTGCATCAGACAGCATGAGGGTATGTCAGGGCCACACCCTGGAGCTTCTTATTCTCTGGCTGAGGAAGGCAAGCTTCCAGAAATTCAAAAACACTGCAGGTGACACTAATGCACTCCAGCAGATGAGAACCAACGGTGGTCTAATGGAACCACGAATTGGGAGGACGGTGAAAAATTCTTCCCAAATCAATCATGTTCTCCCTGGATAGAACACCACTAGAAATCCTGGAATCAAGTAGTTTCCTAATGTCACATCCAAGAGTGACATTAGGTTTCCAAGCATCACAATTTCCAGATGCTGGAGGATAACGAACTGCATGTTTAAACTTGCGCTAAAGTTGCAAAGATATACACCTCTGGTTTAAGAACTAAAATTAAGACTCAATAGTTTGTGTTGCCTTGACACGTGGTAAAATCAGGACAGCCTCAAATGACCTACATGCTTGTTCCCCTTTCTCTCTACTCCCGAAGATTAAGTCTCCTAGCTAAACGGCCCTCCACAGCAAGGAACCAGGCACAGTGCCTGCTTATGCTCTGGAATTACTCAAGCCAATAACATCCTCCTGTGGGAACCAGGGAGCACCATACCCTCTTGGTACTACAAAGCCTGCCTCCCACAGCCCCTGTTGGCTCAGACAGTTTCCAAACGTGGCCCTGCATTGCGTGGATGTCCTTTCACCCAGCTGTAAATATATATGACCAATAACCTGCTGTCAACCTCATCTGTCCAGTGTCAGGTGTTCTGCGTTCAGTCATCCCCTTATAGGGTGGGAATCCCACCCTAACGAACGGGTGAATAGGAGGCAATCAAAACAGTGCCACTAAGTGCCATGCAAGCTGCATAAACTTCACACTACCCAATGGGATAGAAAAGGTCAAATGAAGGAATCTCCACCTAATGCCCTGGCCCAGCCTGGCCTGACTTCAGTGAGAAACCACTGGAGACACCTTCCCCAAAGAAGCCTCAGAAAGGGTCCACAGCCAAGCCCTGTCTCTCCATCTACCCCCCTCAAACAAATTTATTTCCAAGTTATTTCCCTTCTCAGCAGGATAAAGGAGCATTTTCTAGGTGTGTGGGTTGCACCGGCTCTCTTATTTCATAAAGAACAAGGAGAACGTGGCTAAAGCTGCAATCCTCTCACCTAAAAGATATTTTCACCAAGCTGATTAAGCACAATTGTTAAAGATGATGGACCGTACCTCTTCTGTTGCTCTCTCTCCTTCTTCTTCCTTGGGTCCATAAATCAAAGTAAAGAAAAAATATAAATTCTAGTAAGTTTTAAGGTGAATCTCGAAATTAAGCAAGCTATACCAAAATACAAGCTAATCAAAATAACCAACAAGTTAATTTATCCATAAAATATGTAAATAGCAAAGATATGATAACTGAGTGATCCTGACTTATTTCATGCATTATTATTTCAAGCTCTTGGAACATAAGATTAAAGACATTTTTGGGCCGGCCCGGTGGCGCACTGGATAGTGCGCCGCTTGGGAAGCGCGGCGGCGCTCCCGTCCGAGGGTTCAGATCCCATATACAGACCGGTTCCCGCTCACTGGCTGAGCGAGGCGCGGGAGCAACACCGAGGCTTGCGATCCCGTTGCCGGTCCCCGGTCCGGTACGGGGGCAACACTGAGGGTTGCGATCCGTTGCCGGACACAGAAAAAAAGACAAAAAAAAAAAAAAAAAAAAAAAAAAAAAAAAAAAAAA